GAGAGAGGATAGATAGATAGATGATAAATAAATAGATAGATAGATAAAGCTATATATATTTATAGAGAGAGAGAAGATAGATAGATGATAGATGATAGATAGAGCTAGAGAGAGAGAGGATAGATAGATAGATAGATAGATAGATAGATAGATAGATATGATAACGATAGGATAGAAAGATAGATGGTAAATAAATAGATGATAGCTAGATCATAGATAGATGGATAGATTGTTAGACAGATGATAGAGAGAGATAAAGATAGGATAGATAGAAAGAGATGAAAGATGATAGATGATAGCTAGAGCATGGATTGATAGATAGATGATAGAGAAAGCTATAGATAGATAGATAGATAGATAGATAGATAGATAGATAGATAGAGCATAGATAAATGGATAGAGAGATGATAGAGAGGAGAGAGAGAGAGAGAGATGATATATATAGAAAGAGGAGAGAGAGAGAAATATGGGTAGACAGATAGATAGATCAAGTCCACCCCGCATCCCGAACCCGGGAAGACCCCTTCATCTGTGAGTCCCCTGTCTCCTCCACCCAAGGTACACCTCCACCTTCCGTCCGTTCGTCCAGCGGGAGATGGAGGAGAAGAAGAAGGCACCCTGCCAGACCATGGGCATCCCGAAGCTGCAGGTGCCCACCCCAAAGGACTACCTCCGGAAACACTCCAAGGAGCGCAAGGTCCCCAAATGTACGTTGGCGCGCTCGACTCTTCCCCTTGGTCGTGGGGTGAAAGGAAGTGGGACTCATACCTCTTTCTTCCTCCGGTCGAGATCCTGGGGACCAGTTTAAAGACTGGGGGGACTTTCCCCGAACTGGGTGGGGGGGGGGTTGCCGACGACGTTGGGAAGTCCCCACTGTCCGGGCACCGACCAATTTCCCCCTCCCCCTACTTCAAATCATAAGTCTCCGAGTCCTGAAGCCATTGATTTATTAGGCGTGGCCATGTTGGTGTTGGGTGGGGAACCCAGAATGTGGCTCTCCCCGTCATTTTTTTCCCCTTGTCGCAAAGTCACCAAACGGCACCTCGCATCCATCCAAGTCTGTTGCCGAGCTTCCAAAATTTTGACTGGGGGGGAGGGGGGAATGCCACACCGGGGTGTTCAGTGTGAAAAAAAAACAACAACCCTGGCGTCGCTTTCAGTAACTTGACGGAGGGTCGTTCAGTGGAGTTGAAGCTCCGACGCCCAAAGGATGCACCATCACCCACTTGGGTTTTGTGTTTTTTTGGTTTTTTGTCCCATCACCCCACGACGGAAGGCACGTACGAGCGACCAAAGCGTCTCCCCGTCAAAGCCCAGGTGCCTCCCCAGTCCGACCGGCCGCTGATGGGCATCCAGAGCGAGAAGAACTTCATCCACGCGAACATGGCTGAGGCCATCATGGCCGTGGCGAAGAAGCCCCTCCACGCCTGCGTCGACCAGCGGAGGGGGGATAAGTACCTCCTGGAGGGATCCGGCCTGGTCCAGAAATACCTCAAAAATAAGGTGCGGCTTCCCTCAGGGGGGTAGGGCAGGGCCAGAGCTCAGGCTGGGGGGGGAGGGAGGGAGGGGAGATGGGGGAGGGGTTTGGGGGAGAAAAGGCCTCTCCCCCTCCCCTTCCCTGTGTCTTCCTCCCTCTCCCTCCTGCTTGGCTTCCTACTCTGTGGAAGGTTTATGTCCGAGAGCTTTTGCGGTGGGGGGGAATGGGATGGAGGTTTGATGCGGCATTGATATTGTGGCGGGGATCTTAAGTCACACCGAGGTGGCCTGGCGAGATGAGAGATGATGGCTCGATGGATGGATAAAGATGATAGACAGACAGATCGATAGATATACAAATACACAGAGAGAGAGACAGATGATAGATAGATAGATAGATAGATAGATAGATAGACATAAATACAAATACAGAGAGAGAGAACTGATAGATAGATAGATAGATAGATAGATAGATAGATGATATATAGATAGATAGACAGACAGTCAGACAGACATATATACAAATACAGAGAGAGAGAACTGATAGATAGATATAGATAGATAGATAGATAGATAGATAGATAGATAGATAGACAGACAGACATATATACAAATACAGAGAGAGAGAACTGATAGATAGATAGAT